CAGATTCTGCCCGTCAAGCCACCAGATCCAGCACGCGGAGGCAGTGGGGAGCCCTAGGAAGCTGCAGGGTTCTGTTTCTGTTTTAAAACTGGAGGGCAGGGGGGAAGTTTCAGGAACTCTCTCTCCCCCAGCACAATCCTATTGGCTGGTTTCTGGCCAGAAACCAGCCAATGGGAGCTGCTTGTTGGAATAACAGGCAGCTAGGAAGAACCATGCCCCCTCTTCTCGGCTCTATTCAATGAAGCACATGGCAAGGCAAGCAGGCAGGCTGGGTGGCTGGGAACCGTTTTAAGCTCTGCAAGCCTTAGCTCTGCAGGCAGGCAGGCTAGTTTGGCAGCTGACAGGTAAGTCTCCTGGCCACAGCCTGCTTCTGGCACCCCAGCCCTTTCCTACTCCAACCCTTTTCCTCCCTCCCTCAAGATAACCAAAACCTCTGTCCCCCTCTTACAGCCATACTCCCTCCGGATATGTCTACACTATTCCACGAGGCGTACAGATAGTTCGGAATAGCTTGCTAGTCCGAACTATCTAGCCCGTGCTGCGTGTAGCCGCGCGGCACGGGGTTCGAACAAGCCGGCATTTAAAAATGGCGCCGGCCGGCTTATGCAAATAAAGCCCGGGAAATTCAAATCCCGGGCTTCATTTGCACATTCGGTATGCATACATTACCCCGCTAGTTCGCACTAGCGGGGTAGTGTAGACATACCCTCCCATATCTGGCACCCCAATCTTCTGCCCCAGATCACAATCTCCTCCTACCCGTGGTCACATCCAAAACCCCTACACTCCAATTCCCTGCTCTAGGTCACAACCACCTCCTTCACCCAAACTCCCTCCCAGACTCCAGTCTTCCTCCTGTATCCTAATCTCTTACCCCAAGCTTTCTTCTGCATCCAACCTCAATCCCAGACCCACATCTCCTCCATTAATATCATGGAAGAGTGCGGCCCTCCACCACTTTCCAAAATCTTGGAGTGGCCCCCAATCAAAAATTATTTCTCATCCCTGCTCTAGGCAATTGCTAAATCTGCTTATACCTAGCACTGCATCCAGACAGAGGAATTATCAGGGGAGTGATATTGTGGAGGAGGTGTCTCCCTACGACATAGGGGGAATCCTCTCTTTTGTCTCTCAGTCAAGGAGACCCCAAAGGCTGAGGATGCACCCATCCAACAAGTCCTGGAGCAATATGAGAAAGATCTGTCTGTTGTGGAAGAGATCAACTTTTTTCTTTCCCAACACAGACAATTAGGGGGTGGGGAGGAGCATTATGTTCCTTGACTTATCCAAATCCCCATTCTCCAATTATGATTTGAAAGGTACTGTCTGGGTTATTGCTACCAATGTTCTCTCTAATCTTTTCCATCCATAAATAGTTTTTTCCATCCATGTGTGGAATAAATTTTTATGTGCACCAAAGCATATGTGAATGTACCTCACCAATAGAAACAAAAAGCCTAGCTGAGCACTGTTCTAAAAGAGTTGGATGGCATTTGAATCTCTCCTGTACAGCCACACAGTTTCTGGGGAACATTGGTTGTTACTTTTTTGAATCTCTTCTGTAGAACTTTTCTTCTGGATTTCTCTCCTGAAAAGTTCAGGGTTTGTGGAGACCTATTCAGATGCATATCATTTGAACAAGTTATCTGCATTCTTTTGGATTTTCATGAGTCTCTGCTGCACTAGCCTGAGTGTCCTCACAGAATAGATTAGGTCCCTGTGTAGCTTCCTGCTGTATAGGATTTACTTAGATTGTAAGCTATTTGGGGCAGTGACTTTTTTTCTGTTTGTACAGTATCTAGTACAATGAAGTCCTGCTTCATGTCTGAGACCTCTAGGCACTGCCAAAAGACATATAAAAAGAATAATAATATGGATAAATAACATCTGCCACTATCAGGATTGGGGTCTGTGATGTATAGGAGGAGTGCTGGCCAGCACTCGGTGACTAAAGGGTTAAATTTAGGTAGCTAGCAAGGGTGTTGGAAGGGAACCAGAAGAACCAATGGGATACAGTGCTGAAAGCTGAATTGTATATAGATACCTGATCTGTTCTTCCTTTCTGTGACTTCTAAGAGCTGGAAGGAGCAACATGTAGTATCAAAATTACCATGCCTATAGGGAATATGAAAGAATATGTCCATCATTAATGTTTGGCATATTGCATACTTATTACTTGTTTATATAATTAAAAATTACATATAAAACATGTAATAAGTATGCAATATACCCAACATTAATCAAAGAGAGTAGTTACCAAAAACACATAACATTACATCCAAAACAAGAGGAGCAAGGGGAGGGAGTGGATAGTAGCGATATCTGTGAGAGTTTGTGATTATTCAGGAAGGGCTAGTATATAGCATTGTGGGGCAGAATTTTTGTAATATCTAAAAGAAATGCCTGATCTTTTTTATAGACATTATAGCAGAAGTTGGTGTTGAGGAGGTTTTAAGGAATAGGTTAATCTGCATGGACTATATAGCTCATGTAGAACTGGAGCTGTGATGAACATATCCTTTCATCACAGGAAATTCACATTTCTTTCTCAAAATATAAATGTTGAGTAGCTGGATAATTCTAGTGACTTACTTTGAGATAATTATATCTAAGGATGTTAGAGTTCAGCTAGTTTTTGTTTTGTGAAGAGGCTCAGAGCTTTGTTTACAATAATCACAGTCACCGTTTTTGCTTTACTGTCTAATTATAAAGGTGGCTAAGAAAATGAATTATATGCATCAACTGGTTAGTCTTTAATATTCATATTTTTAAACTGTCAGTAGGTGAGTAAAATGGGTATAAAATATACTTCATTAAAATTGAGTATTTCTTATTTCTTTCTTAAAAAAGACTGGTGGTACCGACCTATATCCTGTAAAACAATTAAGTAAAACTCCCAACAGGCAGTTCTTCGGACTCTCTCAATAAACCCTGTGGAATAAAAGTAGGTAACTAAACGTGCTCTTATTCCCTGCCCCATTTCTTCCTAATAGGCGTAGATTGAAGATCCTAGCACATCCCCACCCACTGACTGTACTGGTCCACTGACAGAGGTGGGTGGACAAGCCTCTCAACCACCTGCAGATACCTGAGAAAAAAGTTAAACAGGTCTACTTTGCTAATTTCCCAGAGAAGCAAGGAGTTCATCACCAACTTGCCAGATAAGAAAGAGATAATATTTAGTTGAATAAAATATAAGTGCTACTGTATTTGTGTGTGTGATTTAGTTCTTACCAATCCTAATTTACTGTTTTTACATCTGCAGCTTGACACAGGTAATGAGTTTTATGTACTATTTCCTAAATTAATGAAAATCAAGTTATCTAAAAAAATTACACAAAGTCTACCCTCTTAGATGATATAAAATGCTGTACTGAGCTGTAACTTAACACAATTTAGTGATCAGATTTGCAACATTGTTTGAAGAAATATGTGAAGAAATAGTGGGAAACTTGATTTAAATCAATTTTTTGTGTGTGATTTAAATCAAATCAATCCACCCTGCATAATGCTGTTTCAGCTAGCTGAAAGTTTCTGTTTTACATATAAGAAAGGCATTTAGTTACCTCATTGAGGAAGGAGAGGTGTTTAATATACTTCTACTTCCCTTTCTTGTATACCAAGTTTGCACTTTTTCAGTTTTTTGTGGTTTTGCTTTTTCTGCTTTCCCTTTTCCTCTGGGATGCTATGTTAACTAATCTTCCTCTTATTTATGTTTTATATGCCTCCTGGACAATGTTTTTAGGTCTTTGACCTTTACCATTAGCATCAAAATAGAACCGAGTTTCTATTTTTATAGCACTGAAAATAACTGAATCTTTTGTTAGAATTATTAAGCCTCCAATCTTTTTTACAGGATCACTGTTATTGATTTTTAAATAGGGTTACAATTATTGCATGATCTGTCTAGGTTTGTGATCCATTACATCTACTATCAAAGATGATGAATTCGGATGTAGTCAATCCTGGCATTTAAACTGCATAGTTTGGAAAAAACCCTTCTCTGAGAAGGGTGCTGATGCCTCTGGGTGTCATAAAGGCTCACTTGATATTTTTCCTTGACTTTTGGACCTATATTATGGCTTTTAAAAATTGGTATTTGATTATTTAGTCATGTTTGAGGGGAGATATTTCATTCTTTTGACTTTAGTTTTAGGAATACTTAAGCAAGCAAACAATTATACCTTCAAGGACATACAATGAGAAACATTAACAAGGGGTATAATGTATTATGTTAAAGATGGATATTAGAGTGAGGATACTGGGCGGGGGGAAAGTATTTACAGGGCAGGAAGTCTTGCAGATTTAAAAAGTCCCAGTAGAGGTTCTTTAAAGCTGTAGTGCTAAGATTGCCTTACTACAAGTTTTATATTTCACAATCAGAGGGGTAGTCGTATTAATCTGAATCTGCAAAAGTGACGAGGAGTTCTGTGGCACCTTATAGACTAACCGATTTATTGGAGCATAAGCTTTCATGGGAATTTCCACTACATGCATCTGACAAAGTAGGTCTTTGCACACAAATGCTTATGCTCCAATAAATCTGTTAGTCAATAAGGTGCCACAGGACTCCTCATCAATATTTCACGATATAGTTCTTACTGGATGATTATGTTCACTTTGGAAGGCTATTCTTTATATTGTGTGGGTTTTGTTTGCTGCTACACTTGGATATTTCCCCTCCATTTCAGTGTGATTTGTTAAATAGCTGATCAGCATATTTCTCTTAGCTTGTTCCCTCCTCCCCCCAGTCTGTAAGAGACTATTTAATCATAAATTTAAGAGAGAGATTAAGAAAGAGAGAGATTTCACTTTAAGCCTAATATTTGCTGGTCATAGTGTAGAGTATGAAAATAACTATAACAAAGAATATACATTTTTTTATGAGCAGCTTCAGTGTTAGTCATCAGAACTGTAACTCATCTCAGTATAACATTAACCACAGGCTATGAATACACCTACAGAGTAGCATTTTGTTCTTGTGTTTGAAATATTGTACTGCTACAGTTACATTTCTTTCCTTCTTGTCTCTAATGCAGTTCAGTTCAGCACTGGATACTGCAGTCTCCTATTGTGGTGCAGGTCACGTAGCAGTGAATGAACAAGATTGCATGAATAATGTGCTCTTTATTCAGCGATTGGGTAAAAATGAATGCCCTCAACACCTACGTACATCCAATCTCCACTGCTTCCTGTGTGCTTATTCTTCCTGAAGCTTTAATTATTTATCCTTGGAGAGAATTTGACAGTTACAAGTAGTCACGACTCAGCAGATTAACCCTACCAGCACCAAGTTTCATTTCCATATCAAGCAGACTCAACTGTGTCTTGGAATCAAATGTTAGTTTTGAAGTAATATGATTCCTAATTAAAATGAAAGCCAAGCAGGCTTTAAATGCAAGTTATTTGTAAATCTACCATGCTGCCTTTCATGAAATTAAAATGGATTTAACATTATTGCTAATTTTAAGATGAAGACTTGAAAAATTAAAAAGTTTAATATGCTTGGGCATTTGGCAGTGAATGTGCATTTTAAGGCAGTAAAGGGGAATCCAGGGTCATATTTATTAGTCAAAATATATACACAATTAGTTGTCAGATAGTACTATATATTACAAGAAAATTAGCTGGATTACAGAAGAAAATGTTTGCTAATTTTGCTATTTATTCCTTGTAATCTGAGATCATAGACCACATGTATCAAGGAATATGTATAATAGAGTCACTTCATCAACATGGCTTAAAAGGAAAATCTCTTAGAAATAGACTGGTAATACACTTTTCAAATTGCATATGTAGTTGTTTTCAGCGAGAGAACCATTAAACCTACAGTAAATAATATGGTGTAAAATGCTAACATTTTGTTTACTGCAAGGTTTTGTTAAACAACTGCATTGTAAAAAATGATCTCTTAAAATGCCAATATTAGAATAAACTGCCACGGCTACTTCTTAAGCAAGAATAGGGTATTTTTTCCCAATCGTGCCTATGATACTTTCTGAAAAATTTCCATTGGTCCTTTGGACAAGACTTCCATGTTTTCATATAAAATCATAAATATTATTGGTACATTAAAGGCCTTGATATGCAGTAATCAGAAAATAAGAGTAATACAGTAAAATAGTGCACATCCAAAACACACACAGACTATTATGCTTTTTTACTTTTAGATTTTTGTCCAACTTCTGTACAAATAGGGAACAGAAGCACTGTACAAACAGGGAACAGAAAATTCCTGTTCCAAGGAGCTTACAAGAGACAACGGATGGATACAGACAGAGACAATGAAACAATATTGGTGATAGGCAGTGGTCACAATACATTAGCTAACCATTGTCAAGTTTTTTGTAATCAGCGTGGCAAATGCGAATTTGAGGAGGGATTTGAATGTGCATGAGTTAACTTTGCAGGCATCTTCTCCTAAATATGATGGGCAGTTTAGGAACAAGCATGATATGCTTATCTGAAAACTTAACAAGCAGTTGGTGGTGGCTGGCATTAGGGGATGATCAGAGATAGAAATCAACAGCTTGCTAGCAAATGAGAGAATAAGTTAGGTGGGGATAGACTGTGAAGGTCCTTGAAAGTGAAACAAGCAGTTTTGTTTCTTGGAGGAGTCTATGGAGGTCTGCAAAGAGGCCATATCTTTCCTTCATATATTGGGTAGTTTTGACTTTAAAACAGTAGGAATTGAAGTGGCACAGAAAATAACGTATTTATTCAGGTAACAAACGGATAAAACAGAATTCTTTCTCCCCGTGCTCTCCCCTCCTTTTTTGGTCCCCATGGACAACACCACAAAATTGCCTGTTTCTCAGGCCTGTAACTTTGGTGTCATCTTTGATTCGGATCTCTTTACGTGTTTGCATCCAGGCTGCATCTGAACCTTTTTAGATTTTCTGCATAACAACTAAAAAACCCGCCTTTTCCTAGCCACTCTCCCAGCTCAAACTGTCATCTGCTCCGTCTGAGTTCCTCCATGGGCTCCCCCTTCTCCATCACACCAAACATAAGCGTTTTGTCTTCAGAACCAATCCCTCACTCCCTATCTTTTCTCATTCAATACCAAAAAGATGATTTCCTGCCTCTAACTGGCTCACAATACCACTCTCCATCACCCATTTATTACATTTTCAAATAAGCATCTTTCTGCTTTTTCCAATGCTACCCCTCATGTGTAGAAGGAGCTCCCAGTAAACATTTGCAAAATTAACTCATTATCCATCCTCAAATCCCTCCTCAGAATTCTCTTTTGGCATGATATCTGCAAAATACATGACATCAGGCTATTGGGGTATATCTAGACTACATGGTTCCGTCGACGGAGCCATGTAGATGAGTTTACTAGACATAGGAAAATGAAGCAGCGATTTAAATAATCGTCGCTTCGTTTACATCAAAATGGCCACCGCGCTGTGCCGATCAGCTGTTTGGCGGCACTGCGGGGCAGTCTGGATGCACCACAGTCAACAAGGGAAGCCTCATTTCACGAGGCATACTGGAGCGGTCAACAAAGGCTTCCCTTGTCGACCACAGTGCGTCCAGACTGCCCCACTGTGCCACGAAACAACTGATTGGCACAGCGCGGCGTCCATTTTGATTTAAACGAACCGGCAATTATTTAAATCGCCGCTTCATTTTCCTATGTCTAGTATAATCATCTACATGGCTCCGTCGACAGAGCCATGTAGTCTAGACATACCCTTGGTGTGCTAAAACCATTGCCTATCATGATGACCAATGTTGTCTCATTGATGGAGAAATACAAGGAAACAACTTATCTGTATCTTTTTTATACTTGGACTAGTGCACTTCTTAGGGCAGTAGCTGTCTTTTTGTTTTGGTTGTACAGAACACAGCACAATGGGGTCTTGGTCCATGATTACAGTTTGTAGCCATGGAAGTAATACAAATAACTGATAATACTAATGATACATTTTTATCAAAAGACCATTTCTCTCTTGAGGTATGTTCAGGATTGCATTTTAACTGGCCTTTGCTCCTAGCACGTTAGAGACAGTTAACCTATTGGGAAGCTTGCCCCAGAGACCACCAGTATTGCAACATTCACATTGTGACTCTTAGCATGCTAGTTTGAGCTGAACTAGCACAAGTCTATCTATGCTGGGAATCACACCTCCCAGCTGCAACGTAGTCACACTGGGTGTGTCTAGACTACAGGGTTTTGTCGACAAAAGTGGACTTTTGTCGACAAAACTATACCTGCGTCCACACTGCCTTTGAGTTATGTCGACATATGTAAACCTCATTCTACAAGGAATAACACCTTTTGTTGACAGAGTTCTGTACATAGAAGGCATTATTGCATCTACACTCTCCTTTGCGTCCACACTGTTATGTCGACAAAGTGGCTTGCTTTGTCGACAGAACTGGTTGTAGTCTAGACGCTCTTTGTCGACAGAAGCTTTGTCGACAGTATCTGTCGACAAAACCCTGTAGTCTAGATGTACCCACTCAGTCTCCCTATGCTTTCTTCCACTTTTTATGCTGCAGAGGGAGCAAGTGAGTTTTCTGTATTTTTTAATTTTATTGGAAGATGGACTGTTGTCTTTTATTCATTATAGGGTCAATAAAAGCACTGGTTTCTGCTTTTCTGACTGTTGTAGTAAGAAAACAATTAAATACAATCAGCACTTTTTTTTTCAAACACCAGTGCCATCACACTAAAATAATTCTTGGGGTAACAGAGGTTTTGTGTTTCTTTTGAAACAAAGACATTTTTGATCAGACATTGTAAAAATATAAACTAAAATTTTATTGGCAAGGGTAGAAAGAATGGTGATTGTAAATGTTGCCAGTCTGCCCACACATCACAGCACTAACCCCTTTTAATGTGTTTTTTTCCATTAGATGATTGTGATGTTGCACAACGTACATTCCCAAGGTTATTTGAGTGTCCTGTCTCTGTGCATGCAATACACAGCCTTGTGTACCCAACCACTTTATATCTGACATCAACCATGATAAATACTCATTTTAGCATTGTTGTTTTCCCTGCTGTTTAAATAAAACTGCTTCCATAAAAGATTCAAGCTAAAATGAGTAATGAGGATAAAAGGCACTTTTTGCTGAGTCTAAGAAGGACTTGGAGTAGGAATGAAAAGATATAATTTCATAAATCCAAAGGGGAAGATGCATTATCAGAACTTTCTGATGAAAGGAGAATGATGGATGTGTGCACAAAATCACACACACCGGAACATTAAAAACCAAACTGAGCATATAGTTACCAATAAAACCAAACTGTTTGATTAAAAACCATATAGTTACCAATAAAACCAAACTGTTTGAAAAGGGGAGGTTGGGTGGGGAGTTTTAGGTGCTAAACCAGGATCCAGGTATTAAAATGTGAGTTGATTATAAAATAGCAGGAGACAGCTCTTCTATCTCCATATTGACATTTTGTTAATTAACATGTTAAATGTCACTCTTGCTCTGATACCTTCCAAATGCATCTCTCACCAGTCATGCATTATTTCTCAATCAACTGGGCCTTGGAATATAATTTTATATCTTAAGCAAGCACATAGGAATAATCAAATGTAGCATATAAATGCTAGTATCTTTATACCTTTTACTTTTATTTGAAACAAAGGATTTGAGAGTAAAATAACCATTCATCAGCTGCCAGTAGCCTGGATTCATCTGAATTAGACTTTTGGTGAGGGCATCAGATGGAAAAAGCAGTTGTTACTTTGGTGGATTATTAACTCTGTTAGACCTCAGCAAAAGCAATATTCCCATTATTGTTGCTGCTTGCTGTGTGCTCTATAATATATGTGAAAGTAATGGCAGGAGAAAGATTCTAGAGAAAGATGGGATCCAGGCAGATCTCCTAGCAGCTCATTATAGCAGCCAGACACCAGAGCAATAAGGAGAAAACATCATAGGGCACTGCAAATCAGAAAGGCTTTGAAAACCAATTTAATGAATGACCAGACAATGATGTGACAGTCATATATATGCAACATCATAGGGCACTGCAAATCAGAAAGGCTTTGAAAACCAATTTAATGAATGACCAGACAATGATGTGACAGTCATATATATGCTCTTAACAAGGTGTTCCCTGCTGTACATGAACTGGCCTGTAGGCTACCTCCACCCTCCTCCCTGCCTGCCAATGCAGTTGACACAATCAGTAAAGATCCTGTTCTTCTGAATTCATGTATTTTTATTTAGGAAACACAGGGAACACAGTGAGAAAAGGAGTTTAGGACGTGAGCTTTGATGGCAGTGGGGAGAGCACAAGGGCAAGTGGTTTATTACAGTCCACCAGTCTAGCAATCAAAGCTGTAGGAATGACAGCCTTCTGTTTCAGGAGACATCCATGGGAGTTGAATGAATGGCTTCTTGGGACTTCTCTCCTCTTCCTCCTCACATTCTAGAAGAGGAGGCTATAGAATTTGGTGAGATGGGCAGGTGGTTCATTGTAGGGGGAGTCTGTGCTCCAGATGCTTTTCCTGCACCTCTG